CATATTTCTTCCGAAAGGAATGCAGGTGATTGTCAATTTAATATAGGAAACAGCCTTTAGATAATAATAAAAAAAAAGAAAAATTACATATTTTTAAATGAAATATTAATAAATTTTAAATTGAAATTTTAAAACCGGTCATTTGACCGGGGCGTGGTACGGTTAGTTTCTAGACAGTCTGGGTTTTTTATGACCCAAGTGAAATTTCACTCTATTTCTTCGAATCAAATTTCTATTTTTACTGAAAAAAGTTTTAAACATTTGACTTAACGAACAATTGTACAATTCAGTATAGACTTTGATAAGCGTCCCAGAATTTTTTCAGACTTTCCGAAAGCTTAAAACGGTAACAAAATTAGACCTGGACACAAATTACCTAATTTGCCTACGGAGGGTTAATGAACTTACACGTTACCGAATGCACGGATTGATATAAATGATTAATAGCTACAAACTGAACAACTTTCAACGAAATGAACAAGAGTTGTAGATTCTGTTACACTTGCGAGCTACACATGACAGGTTACACTCTTTGCAAAAATTCCTAATTTGTGTAACGTATTCTTACGGTATAATATTGTTGTTAAATGTAAACAAGATATTACACAGTCTGTGTAGATAAAATGTAGAGATTTGTAACGCATAGTAATTACTTACCAGCAAGAACTCCAGCCATGTAAACCGCCGCGATCCTCAGACTTCCGTGAACCATTTCCAAGGGAAGTCCCACGACCACCTGTACTCCCAGGTTAAATAGCAGGTGAAGCCACCTGAAATGTAAGTAAATACATTCCTGAGACAGAGTTCACCTTTATTCAAATGAACAGAGAAGAAGGAAAAGATACGACGAAGTAATTTGCTCGGTTTTATTCGAAAACGTGTCACCATGTTATCTTTACAGAATGTTTATTCTGATTCTGTTATTTTCATTGAAATTCAAGAACATTTATGTACTGTTTTTCTTTTCTCTAACTTTTAGAACAAGTGTGCCATGCTTTAATCATTACAAACTAATATTGAAAAATGTAACAATGTACAACATAGTAGCATATCTATGATTCAAGTAACTTTTGTGCCTAAAAATTATACAGTAAAGAGTAAAAGTCAACACACAAGCGAAATTTTATGGTAAATAATGTTTTATTCAATACTTGAGTGTAGATTAAAAAAAAAATAAATAAATACGTAGTAGTTTGTGTATAACGCTTTGGATTTCCGTGAAAAATAAGAAATTCGTAAATTTGCAATTCTTAAATTAAGAGAGTTCGAGACAGAATTCGTCGAGCCCATATTTTAGGCGACAAAACGACGTACGGGACAGTGAGGCGCAAATTAAAGTTATCCATTTCAGGGAAGCGGTGCGCGCGAAAGGCGAGAGATAAAAGCGGAACCGAGTCGAAGGAACGATACCATCGGTGATGTTTTCTGGAAAATTCGGATCGTCGAGCTAGGAGTATCGTAACGACAACGGTGCGGCGGCTCGGTAAAATTCAAGCAATTACGAATTTTATCTCGCCCTGCGGTGAAAGTTTCTTCGCGAAGAGGAAGAAGAAGAAGATGATCGAGCTTATCTAGTTCGCTCGACTTCGCGGAAAGACTGGTCCTCGAGATAACATTCGTATGACACGTTCCACTCAGTTTCCCCTCATCTTTCATACTCTATTCTCGATTCAATTGTGGCGATTATAATTCCTTAACGCCCTAAATTCCGACAAACCAACTATAGCATTTAAGAATGAAGACGTTAATTTCTTTAACGGAAGATGCTTCTTAATCGTGAGTATATTAGAAAATTGAAACGTTAGTATGTTTGCTCTGTTGGGGTATTTTTGCCTTTCATGGAAGTATTAGATAGAATATTGTTATTTACAAAGCTGAAAAAATGGCTGAAAGTTACGTTTATGTCCTTTGAAAAAAATTTGAAATTTTTCATTTAGTAGTTGCCTATGAAAAAAAATTCCCAAACTGTACCTATATTCAGACGCCTGAGGGTGGGCAAGTCCCTCCCAACCCTTGCACAGAAATCGGGTCAATTTGACCCAAAATCAAATCATAAATTCTTTTTCGTCTGTTATTAAATGTATCATTTGAACTGAAACTTTTTCATATCTTCGAATATCTAACAAACATTAATTATCTTTACAAAAAAGAACAAAATTTGTACGATTTTTTTTAATGGAAATCAATTATATTTTTCACGTATACAAAATACAGTAGTGCACACATAAGCGTCCGCAGTCGGGACCGAATAAAGTGGGATACCGATATATCAAGTGTCAGTTGTTCACATTCAGGAGTCGATATCGAATTAATTTGTTTCACTCGGCACGCTCGAACTTCACTCCGAAGTCCCATTTCCAAGAATCCCCAAGAAAGGGGATAGCGACGGACGCTTAAGCGTGCAAGCGCGGACGCTTAAGCGTGCACGTGGACGCTTAGGTGTGTGAACGTGGACGCTTAGGTGTGCAAAAATGCGAACACCTATGCGTGCACTACTGTATTTGATCGTCTCGTTCAGAACAGTAGACAGACTTGTCGTTAACGTTTTCACGTTTTTACCAATGTGTTGGAAAAATATTGCACGAAATTTGTATAAAAATCAAGGCAAAGCTAGCGAAAGGAATAAATTGGCGAAAACGAGAGATGAATATCTCGGCATGTTTCAACAACAACGTTGACTATTCTGCGTTTTAAGATGATGAACATTCGGATCAAAAATGCTCGGTGAGGCGAGAAACGTGATGTACGGAGACACTGAACAATTTTGCAAATGCAGAAGCGAGCGAAAGATACGTACGTATCGATTCGTTGAAAGTACGCAATCCACGAAATGGAGCATGCAAAAAGGAACTCGGAAGGCTCTTCCCCTATCGAGAATAGTTGGAAGCCAGGAGAAGGACGACAAAACGATAAGACAAGAGAATATATAACCTCTTTGTAAGGCGAAAGAAAGACCGCTATCCGTCATTCGTATTTGCGAAATGGAAGTTTCGATCCACCTAGGATCATTCTCCATAGGAGGGCTGAAAGCTGACAATCCAGTGCAATTCGTCCACTGAGACGATGCTAAAGGATTCGTTTAATTACTATCCAATTAACTGAAACTGTTCCCCCTTCCCCCTCCATCCTTTTGTCCTTCTTCAAGCTTCCCGCTGACCCTTTTCTATCCTGTTAGTACGAAAAGCTTTCGTGTCGTGACTCGAATAATATTGTCGTTAGGATGCACGTGGATTTCGTAAATCGGTCGTACGTTTTCAAGAGAACAGAGCTGGTCTATGGTAGGACGATAAATCGTTTCGCACTTTTTCCGTCGATTCATCGACTTTATTGCTACCCGGTCAAATTGATTTCGCGGTCTAAATTGTGCACGATAAAGTGAACACTTGTTGTATATACCGTGAAGGAAATTATGTCTTTTCTACGTCTAATCCCCTGTTATCGCGAACTTTATGAACACAGCAGAACGGTTTCGATTGTATTGCAAACTCATCGCTCGAAATCAACGACCACGACCGTATAACGACTGACGAGATTCTAGTTAACAGTTTTCGAATCGATGAGTAAATGGTAGGAAAATTTAAGAGGTGATTCTAGAAGCTAAAATAAGACGAAAATCAAGAATAACAAAATTGTGCTTGAGCCTTCGTTTTTCTGTTATTAACATTTGAAAATATCCCCGTGGTCGAGCAACCCTACCTACACCAATGAAGGTAATTATCACCTTTCACTGAAAAATATCTCAGGAGCTATTGGTTTCTAAACCTGCATACCATAAGAGTTTTTTTACACAGCGTTTAATACTCTTTGGAATTGTGCAGTCAAACGTTACACATTTCATGTAAGAAACTCGAAGTGACCTTCCTATCTCGATAAAAGAGCAAAGTAAAAAAGACTGATTACTGTATTGTTCATCCCCTTTGATATCATCTCCTAGATATTATCTTAATTATTTTTTCTTTTAAGTATCATCTAAACATGGTTCAGTTAATCATTTTTGAGATTTGTCAAAGTTTTACACGAACTCAGAGAAGTGATTTTTCACTGTTAAACATTTGAATCAAATCGCACGTTGAAATTGTTATCGATGACGTTCATATACTTCTAATTTATATAAAAAAAAATTGAAATTCGTTAAAATAAGACGAGTGATGACGTACTGCAGTTCACTTTAACTGTTACTCGAACCGTGTTCACAAAATCATCGAAAATGTTCACGTTCTTCCTGGCTAAGGATCATGAATCGTTGCTATTCGCGGGCGTGGCACAGAAACATCCTTCCGACGATATTTGTTCTCCTCTTTTCACGAACTCCGCGATACCATTGTCTGATCTAACCGTGCGCCGTCTTCACTTCCTGCAATTACCGTGATTGTTTCGATTTTTGTCGGCTCCAACATTTCTCACGACACAACACCCTCTCTCCTCTCTTCACTTCGTGTACCACTCTTTCTCGCACAGTTACAGAACACCAACGTCAGGCGATAAACTTTCTACTGTATCTCTGAAACGCGAAATTAGCAACCAGAGGAACAGCGATTTTTAATTAGCTACCTTGTGGTTGTTTCTGTTCGTTGCTGAACGGAATGTTGTTCGAAATATTCAACATGTTTCGAGTGGAGTTTGAAAGACGTAATTCAGGTTACAGATAGCACAAGTTCAAAGATTTTACCGCTTTCTGAGAACTTGCTTCTGTTTCGAATTATGCGGTGAATGGATAAAGTTACCTCCGGAATATTAGACCGCTTGTTCCGGTAAAATCGTAGCCGCAACAGTTTTGTTTGTAATTTAAAATAGCGTTTAACATTTTTTTAGATACACAGTTAAGTATATCTTGAAACATAGACACTGAATATATAAAAATTAATAACATTTCGAAATTTTCGTTTTTAATGCAAGATATTCGAAATGTAAAAAAATTAAAATAAAAAAAGTTGATAACTATCATTCATTATCGTGCACGTCGTGTCACAATTATAAGCCGAAAAACAATCGTTCGAACGAGACTTTTAATAATATTCGAACTTCAAATGCTTGCAACTGTCAAATGTGTCAGACACACAAATTACTGATTTTTTCAAACATATTACGTTAGTAGTCGATTCTACGTAGGTTCCTGTCTTACCTCCAAGAGAGATGAGTGGAGGTCCACCTTAAACATAAATTTCAAGGCTCTCGAGACCTATAAAATTCGAAACCAAAACGATGAAAATTGATCACGGGATTCCCAAGATATAAAACTAGGCAGAGTTATATGGATCACCCTGTACATTATTATCACATGTACATCTACGAAACAGTCGCTAAAATTCACATCGAAGTGTAACGCAAAATTTAGACAAATAAAGTATTATCCGCGTTTTGCAAGAAAAAGATTTACAATTCACAACAGAAAGGTGAGGGGAATACCCGAGTACACGAGGAGGAAGACACAGAGTCTACGAGAAAACGTCGGGGGTCACTCTTATTGCTGTTTCCATATGTACGTAGGGAAAATGGTCGCCTTATCTGGTGTTCCCATGAATAATTTAGAAAGCTTCACCGTTGAAAACTTTTCCGCTGCTCGTGTGATTCTTTTCTTCCAAACCGTCACGGGTGCATACGAGTGGGGAAACTCGCGCGAGAAGCTCTCGAGAGTGTAGTTGGTGGAAGAGCTACAGCGCGATCGTAAATCACGACGTTAAGCGAAAGCATCGATTGATTAAGCTGCACGCAGGACCGTACGCGTCTTACGGGAATCCCCCTTCTATCTCGTCACGTGCTGAGCGACACGTGATATCGGTATACACCCGCATCTACCTTCTCTTGTTTGCAACATTTATACATCTATAGTAATTGCTACTTCGAAACCTGAAGTTTTCCAAACTGTATGCTAAATTTTTTTTTAAATATATCTTTAAGGAAGAACCAGTGCCAAGTTGATTTCGTACGGTCCTGAACGAGGCTCGAACTCCTTATCTTATCCCAACTGATGTTTCGACGGTAGGATTTCATGTTCTTTCACGCCTGTCTGATTTTACGACCGCGCTATATCTCTTCCACCGACTATACATTTATGTACATCTCGCACGTGTACACTGTGTCTGAGAGTGACTCTCGGAGAGCGGACATTTTGCAAGTTACTCTCGAATGGAATGGTGATATTATTATTGTAGGATTGGCCTTCGCACTCAAATAGGAACCAACGAGGAAAAGTAGAAAGTGCGTTATTGGCGTAGCGCGCAAAGTCTCGGCTTGCCAGCCCGGAGGTCGCGGGTTCGATTCCCGTTGGGTGGTCCCCTCAAATTTTTTCCTCGGTTTCTACATTATCGGAGAGAGTAACCGAATAAATTTCGTCAGCCGTGTACGTTTTTACCGTTGCAATATGTCGTAGAGGTTGAATAAAAAATAGTGAAATATAAAGATGGTAGGCAAAGGGAGATAAGAGAGAGAGAAACACGGCCCCTTGAAAAAATAGCCAGGTTAAAAGCTGGAAGAAAGCGTATTTTCCAGCGTGGGAGCAGGCGCGTGTCGGGGCATTTACGTAATACTGTTCGACTGGTGGAACGACGGTTGAATTCGATTCCCATTGGACGACGAGAGATTGCAACGTGATTCGCTGTCGGTGGAAAGAGATAGAAATTAGCGTCAAGGATTAACGCGCGGGAATTGCATCGGGCGCGTTCACAGGGAAGGACGGTCAATCGAGGAAAGTGGCTGGCAAAATGTCCAATTTGTTACACGTGACACTTTTTTTTTACCGCGCGCAATCTGAATTTCAATCGTCCACAGCTCTTTTTCGGAATCTGTCCTATGAATATTACTGCAAAGTATAAATTAATATAAACGGTAATACTCATCAATATTACATTAATTAAATCGATAAAAAGAAAAAGGTTGGAAATGAAATACTCGGTATTCGAAATAGAAAAAGAAGAATATTTAAACGTCACCGTTTCGAAGTTCCCTTTTCTTACATTGCATTCACTTTTATTATATACGTTTATTAAATTAAATAATAGTAGTACTTGATATTTGTTAGCATGCTAAATTTTTCATTTTCGTGAATTATTTAATCTATCACATATTCATTACTTGGAAATTAATTATTGCCTTCACTTGTTAATATCGACAACGGATATATTACAAGTGCATCCTACGAAAATGATATAAAAACTGATTTCTTAGAAGAAAAAAATTTTCTTGAATACTACATCGTATTTTGCAATAAACGACAAGTTTCTCTCGCAAAAAACGCTTTCACATATTAAGGAAATACGATTTTTCTCCAATATTTCTAACAAATGCGACGAGAATTTCAATATCTACATTTTCCAATAATCGTCGTGAAATTTCATTCCACAGTCAAGAATGTAACGAATGTCCGTCTAATGTTTAAAAAAGAAACAGTAGCGTCGTGATATTTTCGACAAGCATAAAATTCATACGTATTTTAGAACGTTAAAATACCTTTTTACGAGCAAATAATCTTTTCACTTTCCTATTCATTTATCAGAGCACAAACGACTTATCTAACTATACCAAAATGTCTCCTCAAGCGGAGTAGAGTAGTGGGGGTAGCACGCCCCGCCCACTTTCCCTTCATTCGCGCACGCATGCGCGTTGGAACGTTCAGGTCTGCTTGGTCGGCCTACAGTTATGTTGTGTCATATTTCAAATACGTAATACTTATTGGCTAGTTA